ATAAAGTGAAATAAAATATAATAAAATAGAGTAAAATAAAAATGAAAAAAAAGATAAAAACAGGAAAAAAATACATGTACAAGTGTAGTAAAAATAATTTTTTCTGTACTTTAATAAGCGGTGAATTGACTTGATATTTACTTTAGTTAAAGTAAAATTATATTTGATATTTTCATTTTTTAGCATCAGTACATATTCATCAATGATGCTGTTCTTGAGTTTGTAATGTGTGGTAATACTCAAATTGATAGTTGGCAGGCTCGCTCGATGATTGGAAAGCTGAGTGAACAGGATCCAGAAACTGGTCAAACTGGTTATGAAGAACAATTTACAGTAACCTAATAAACAGAGGAATTTAATATTATCATTCCATCAATTAGGTATTGCAGCAGGTAACACAAAAACCAGATGAAGTGACACATAATATTGCATCACAGAATAAAGACAAGAACAGATCAACTCAATTCCTACCACGTATGTATAGGCAAAATTTAATAGTGTAAACCATTAATTTTTTGTATTATCCACAGCTGATAATTACAGAGTACCCCTTAAAGGAGAGCATCCAGATTACATCAATGCAGTTTTTATTAATGTAATGCATTGTCACTAGTTCCTTGTATCATAAGTATATACTTATCATTTTAGGGTTACAAAGAAAAGAAAGCATTCATAATTGCAGAGAGTCCAATGTTTAATACAGCTAGAAACTTCTGGAAGATGATTGATGATAGAAATGTGACTGCTATTGTAATGCTATGCCATGAAAATGAACTTAAACAGGTATGCCCACAATGTACTTATGCTATTAATGCTCTGTAGAAAGTTTGAGCTGATTCCAAGTTAAATTTTTTAAGTTATGGAAATTTTACCAATTTCGAAAAAATCCCTATCATAGCCCATGTTTTTTTCAAAAAAATTCTCAAAAATTACTCAAATTTTTTATTACATTTTTTGATGCATATTGATGTCCTTATACTATGTAGAAAATTTGAGCTGATTCCGACTTAAATTTTTTGAGTTACGGTCCTTTTTAAAAAATTGGTCAGTTTCTGAAAAAATTTCTGTACTATAATGTTTTTTTTTTCCGAAAAATGGCTCCGAAATTACCCCCAATTTTTATTACATTTTCTGATGCATATTGATGTACTTATGCTGTGTAGAAAGTTTGAGCTGATTCTAACTTGAATTTTTCAAGTTACGGCCATTTTTAATAATTGGCCAATTTCTGAAAAAATCCCTGTACTATATATATATAGCCCATGGTTTTTTCCAAAAAATGGCTCCAAAATCACCTCCAATTTTTATTACATTTTTTGATGCATATTGATGTACTTATGCTGTGTAGAAAGTTTGAGCTGATTCCGACTTAAATTTTTTAAGTTATGGCCATTTTAAAAAATTGGCCATTTTCTGAAAAAATCCCTGTACTATAGCCCATGGTTTTTTCCGAAAAATGGCTCCAAAATTACCCCCAATTTTTATTACATTTTCTGATGCATATTGATGTATTTATGCTGTGTAGAAAGCTTTAGCTGATTCCAACTTAAATTTTTCAAGTTACGGCTATTTTTAAAAATTAGCCATTTTCTGAAAAAATCCCTGTACTATAGCCCATGGTTTTTTCAGAAAAATGGCTCCAAAATTACCCCCAATTTTTATTACATTTTCTGATGCATATTGATGTACTTATGCTATGTAGAAAGTTTGAGCTGATTCCGACTTAAATTTTTTGAGTTACAGCTATTTTTAAAAATTGGTCAGTTTCTGAAAAAATCCCTGTACTATAACCCATGGTTTTTTCAGAAAAATGGCTCCGAAATTACCCCCAATTTTTATTACATTTTCTGATGCATATTGATGTACTTATGCTGTGTAGAAAGTTTGAGCTGATTCCGACTTAAATTTTTCAAGTTACGGCTATTTTTAAAAATTAGCCATTTTCTGAAAAAATCCCTGTACTATAGCCCATATTCTTTTCAGAAAAATGGCTCCGAAATTACCCCCAATTTTTATTACATTTTCTGATGCATATTGATGTACTTATGCTATGTAGAAAGTTTGAGCTGATTCCAACTTAAATTTTTCAAGTTACGGCTATTTTTAAAAATTAGCCATTTTCTGAAAAAATCCCTGTACTATAGCCCATGTTTTTTTCCGAAAAATGGCTTAAAAATCACCCCCAATTTTTATTACATTTTTTGATGCATATTGATGTACTTATGCTATGTAGAAAGTTTGATCTGATTCCGACTTAAATTTTTTCGAAAATGCATCAAAATTGACTTAATTCCAAACAGAAAATAATGGTTAGTTAATTCATCATACATTTTAGCAGGCATGTTATCAGTACTGGCCTTCATCAGGCTCTGTGGTAATTGGAGAATATTTTATTGAGCTGGAAAATGAGACTAGAAACAACGGATATATTGAAAGGACTTTTGAAATTAAAAATTCTAATAAGGTGCATTAAACTCACTTCTGCAATTTTATATTCATTTGCATAATAGACTGCTATTAGACTGAGTGTAGTACAGTATCAGATAACAAACTGGGATTCAACTGGAGAAGTGAAGAATCCTCAGACTATTTTAATGATAATGGAAGAAATGTACAGAACACAAAGGAAAAGAGGAAACACAAGCATTGTAGTACACTGCAGGTGAGAAAGAAATGTGATTTAAATATTGATTTTAATTTCTTTCTTTATAGTGATACAGTTGGTCGTTCAGCAATGTTTTGTGCAGCTGCTACAACAATTAATAAATGTAAAACTGAAGGAGTCATTGATGTATTTCAAGTACTCAAAAGTCAACGTATTCAAAAACCAGGCAGTGTACAGACTGTTGTAAGTATAAAAATAGCCATTTTGTTTTCTGTTTATTGTTACTCTTATTATTTTTTATTTTATTTTTAGACACAATATGAAGGAATATGTCAAATTGTTTTGGCTTATTTGGATTCTTTTCAAACATATTCAAACTTCAATGCCTAAAATAATACACGCTACAACACAAAAAAATTATTATTATTGTTTATACCACACAATTATTGTAGTTAGAGTTTTGTACTTATGCAATACAATTGAGGTGCTAATTTTATTTCCATTTTTGACAATTATTTTGATAAAGACAATCTTGAGGCGTGGTTTGGCACTAAATGAATTATCATACATTATTTCATTCACTCTGTTATGCTACTGACCCAAAGCAACTTCCAACTCGTCTCTGATTGTCCTCTCTGGCTGCTACTTGGACTGTGAATTCATCTTCCATATAATACGACGAGCTGCAATGAGTGCCCACTACCGTGTGCTCGGACTTAGTTTATTGACGGTACTAGCAATAGGGGTATCAGGACAATGCATTGATAGTAAGAATTGGTGCTTAATCAGAATAATGTGTATTCTGTATCCTCTTTCTAGATCCTGCTGTACTACCACAAGTGAAGAGTATTGGATTCGCATCAGTAGAATCAGTGTCAATGATTGTCTTATGGGAACCTTGCATGATAAGTCAACCAATCGATGGATACTACCTCACATACACTAACATCACTTCAAACACTAGTTATACTATTGATATCGATGGAGGAGACAACATAACGTATCCTCTCACAGGATTAATACCATATACTAACTATGCTGTGAGTATAAGGCCTTATAACGGAATACCTATACAAAGCCGAATACAATTAACTGCTGAATCAAGTAAGTCAATGAGATATTGATCAGTTTAACCTGATTTTAACACAGCTCCTGGTGTGATATCTGATTTGATGCAAACAAACGCTTCACTAACTGAGATCAGTATCTCGTGGAATCCTCCTATAATGCCCAATGGTATCATTACAGTATATGAGATAAGATATAGAGAGTCTACCAGTAGTGGTCCATACACTGTAACTAACACTACTAACACTGAATACAGTATAGTAGGATTGATACCTAATATTGGTTATACTATTGGAGTGAGAGCATATACTAGTATTGGACCAGGAGAATGGACATGTAAGTGATTAAATGTACATAGAAGTTCATGTCTCCTTTTTATAGCATTAACCAATGAAACAGCTTCATCCTCTACATCAATGAATCTTGGTAAGCTATCACAGCAATTATAAAGTTTTGTCATTCTATAAACCTTTTAAATGTAATTAGAAACTACCAGTACTGCTTCAATTAAAAAATCCTCCTCAATGCTTATAACTAGTTCTTCTATTGCATCAAGAACTTCAACTATTAGCTCAATGACTACAATATTAGCTACTTCAACAAGTGAGCCATTTTGAAAATATTTTAATTATTTCTTTTTGTTAGGTACTACCTCTTCCTCAACCTCTTCAGCTTATTCACCTCAAAGCTCTCATTCCTCTACAGTATCAAGTAAGCAGTCAATATGTACACTTGAAATTATTTTTAAACATTAAGTAGGTACTACTGCAGTAGCTTCAACTTATTCAATGACTTCAATCGAATCCTCAACAGTATCAAGTGAGTCATTAGGCATGCATTATGATACTGATACTATTTATTCAGAAATACTAGCATCATCAACAATTTCATCTTCATTGCGGCATACTATAACGTCAAGTGAATTCACACAAAAAGTGTCTACTTTTTCAACTACTTCAATTCTTACATCGAGCACTCCAAATATTTTATCAATAACATCTCTTCATACGTTACCCTCTTCATTATCCTCATCCACTCTATTGACTACAGTATCAAACTCTACTTCAATACCTCTTCCTACATCAAGCAGTTCACCAATCTCACCAACTATACAAGTAGTATCAAGCTCTACTTCAACTTCTCTTAGTGCATTAACCTCATTGTTTACCTCATTCATTCTATCATCAACTAAAGTGTTAGACTCTACTTCAATGCCTACTTGTGCATCAAGCAGTTTAATAATTTCACCCACTGAAGTATCAACGTCTTCTTTAACACTTCTTACTCCATTAAGCAGTTCATCATCTTCAATCTCTACTACAATAGTGAATTATACTTCAGTATCTTTAAGTTCTTTAAGCTCTTCAATTACCTCATCATCAGCTACACTATCAAGCTCTCTTACTTCATTAAATAGCTCATCCACTCTAATATTAAACTCTACTTCAATGCCTCTTCTTACATCAAGCAATTCATCTATTCTTATACCTACTGTAGTATCAACCATCACACCTCTTGCTTCAATGAGCAGTTTATCTCCCTCACTCACAACTACCATTATTTCAATGCCTTTTAGTTCTTCGAGCAATTCAATTCCATCATCAACTGTAGTATTGAAGTCTACTTCAACACTTCTTACTTCATTAAGCAGTTCATTACACTTGTATTCTTCAACACCTGTTGCTTCAATGAGCAGTTTATCTCCCTCACTCACAACTACCATTATTTCAATGCCTTTTAGTTCTTCGAGCAATTCAATTCCATCATCAACTGTAGTATTGAAGTCTACTTCAACACTTCTTACTTCATTAAGCAGTTCATTACACTTGTATTCTTCAACACCTCTTGCTTCAATGAGTAGTTTGTCTCCCTCACTCACAACTACAGTATCAAACTATACTTCAACACCTATTAGTTCATTGAGCTCTTCATTCATGTCATCAGTACACTCTACTTCAACACTACTTACTTCATTAAGTAGTTCAATACATCCTACTTCAACACTTCTTACTTCATTAAGTAGTTCATCACACTCTACTTCAACATTTCTTACTTCATTAAGTAGTTCATCACATCCTACTTCAACACTACTTACTTCATTAAGTAGTTCATCACATCCTACTTCAACACTACTTACTTCATTAAGTAGTTCATCACACTCTACTTCAACACTTCTTACTTCATTAAGTAGTTCATCACATTCTACTTCAACATTTCTTACTTCATTAAGTAGTTCATCACATTCTTCTTTAACACCTCTTAGATCGATGAGTTCATCATCAACCTCCTCCACACTATCAACTGCTTCATCAAAAACTACTTCATCAAAAACTACTTCAATCTCTATTACTCGAATAGGGAATACAATTGTAGCTCCTACAAGTAAGTTACTTTTCACTGAATTTATTATTACCTTATCTAATATTCAGCTATTAGCAAACCAAACACCATAAAAACTTCAACAAGTTCTATATCAACAGTCCAGTCATTGAGTAAGCTCTTTATTTGTATGTATTTGTTATTTTTATTATTAATATACAGCAAAGAGTGCAGTAACTTCTACAAAACCAAGCACTTTAAGTACTTCTACAGATTTTTCATCAAGTTTCTTCCAGTCGTCTAGTGAGCTCAATCTTAATCACTGTATTTTTTATTCATGATTAATTTATTATCAGGCAATATTGCATCTGCTCCTCCAATATCTGGCGACGTCTCAATACTTTACTTTATAATAGTAGGGACATTGGTACCATTACTATTGGTTATGATAGTAGTAATAGTTATCATCATCATTGCATTGGTTATAATGAAGTAAATTCAATGTTTGACGTTAAAGTTATTATTATGTTTTATGATGATAGGAGGAGGGTAAAGAAGAATTTATACATTGTCAATGAATCCCCTACTACTTCAGCTGAAGAAATGCAAAGTATTCTTTAATATTTGGATCTCTCACTCATATCTCTTTTTAATTTTCTCTCTCGTTTTCTGTTCTTTTTTTATTTACAGCTGAAACAATACAAGCTTTCTCTCCAACTGAAGTAGTATCATTACCTCCAATTGACATTGGTGAACCAATCGTAATGAATGATAGTCTGCCTAAACCAAAAAAAACAAAAAGTAATGTTAATCTTTATCTCTACTTTCTCTTCTTTTGATCGTCCTTTACTTCACATACTCCATATCTTGTTTCTCTGTTTTTATATTTTGTCTCTCTCTTTTTGTCTCTCTCTTTTTCTTTTTAATTTTCACAGGGGTAACAATACAAGCTGATACTCCATTAGTACCTACGCATCCGTTTATAGAAGAGTTCCCTAACAATTTGACAGCTGAGGTCGGTCAAGAAGTTCATTTTAAAGTCAAATTCAAAGGAACTCCTACCCCATCTTTTAATTGGTATCATAATGGAGAGCCAGTGACTGATGATTATGCTCATGAGATAAAAGGAGATGGTAGTCTACTGCTAGTGAGTGTCGAGAAGATACACAAAGGAGTATATGGTTTTGTTGCTAATAACGATGCTGGAACTGTTAGCCAACAAGTTGTACTCACAGTTACAGAGGAAGAGGCCAGGGTGCCAAGTGGTGCTGCTTCAAATATTGAGATTAATGCCAATCTAATACCTGTTGGAAAATTTGGAGAATTTGTTGCTGATGGACACGCTAATAATGATGAAGAGTTTATGAAGCAATATGCAGTAAATTTACCTTCCTTTCTATCTCAACTTCATATTACACCATTACACCTTTATATCTCTCTTTTTATTACGATTGTTCTCCTACCTTATCTTTTCTGTTCTTTTTGCTATTCCACTTCTTTTTGTTGTTCAACTATATGTACTTCTAACCTTTCTCTATCTTCTAATGTTATTAGCTGTTTCATAATGACTTGGATAAGCATGAGATGACTATTAGTGTGTCTCAAAAGAACAAACCATTGAATCGTTTTAGGAACGTATTAGTATGTAAGTCACAATTCAACCATAATTAAGCATATTAACTACATTTATATACACTACCAATATCAATTAATAATGTATATTTTAAACAGATGATGATAATCGCATTATACTGAAGCCATTGCCAAGTCACGAAGGTTGTCAAAATGATTACATTAATGCAAGCTTTATTGATGTGAGTAACATGCCTCAAATTCTTTTCTTCCCTAAGTTATGACGCTATCAAAATTTTGTAGTAATATTTCTACCTTTTAATAACAAATAAATTAATTATTCTGTCTATACTATACATTCTTAGGGCTATTCAAGTGCTTATAGATACATTGCAACACAAGGTGAGCTATTGTTGAGAATGTAGCACAATGGACTGACATTAGGAGAGGAATGTAGTGCGTGAAGTGTGGGAGTTGATAGAATGCATCAGCCCATGTGGGATTGAACTGCTTGTAGCTCTAATTTAATTTAGTTTGACCTGTTTTCGTTAATATTACATGCTGCAAAATAATTGATATACATGTAACAAGATAAATGTAAATGTAACAAAATTAATGTATTACCTGTTGTTTGGATTAATACTATGCTATATTCTAATTAGTACTCTTGTTAGTAGTGTTACTATTATTATTACTTGTGTATTTCTACTACAACTTGGCTTTGCTCATTGAAAACTCTAAATTCAAGTGTTGTACATATCATCTACAGGGCCAATGGCTAATACACTTGTTGACTTTTGGCGGTTGATCTGGCAGGAAAAGCCGCACGTTATTGTGATGGTCACTAACCTAATGGAGGGAGGAAGAAACAAGTGTCATCAGTACTGGCCAGACTCTGACTCTGTGTATTATGGGCCATTCAAAGTGACGCTCATTGATAAGCAAGTATTACCTGATTATACTGTCAGGGAGCTACAGTTGATTGTAAGAGAAGGAGTGAGAGAGGGGGGAGAGAGTGGGGGAGAAGATGGTAGCTATGGGCCATTAAGTAAAAAATTAACAATTTGTTTTACTATTACACATGAATTCTTAATTTCAATGCATGTTATAAAGTACAAGAGGTTTATTTAATGACTGTAATATAATAATGTATGTAGTTAGTGACTACAAAATGAGTTTCTTTCAATGCTTTGCCTGACATCCAATAGTAGTAACATAAATGCATAATCTGATAGTATATATAGATAGATTAATGAAGAGTGACTACATGAAATATTATTATCAAAACAACCATAGGATTAGCCTATGTCAGTGTTTCCAGGTGATGATGTAGGAGGATTGGGGGAGTTGTACAATGCTATGGATGATTAATATTTATTGTTATCATTAATCAATTGAAAAATTTTGTTGTAGTTATTGGGTTCAGATCAACCTCCATTGATGATCACACAATATCATTTCACATCATGGCCTGATCATGGAGTACCTGAATATGCAACATCAATACTTCAGTTTCACCGTAGAATTAAGAATGAATACAAACCTACCAAAGGACCGATGCTAGTACACTGCAGGTATTTATATTATAATTTATACATAATGTGTTTATTTATTTATTGTTTTGTTAGTGCTGGTGTAGGTAGGACTGGTACATTCATGGCTATAGACATGGGACTACAACAGGCAGAGAAGGAAGGAGGGATTGATATTATAAGTATTATCAATAGAATGAGACAACAGAGGATGTTCATGGTTCAGACGAGGGTAAGATGATGAAATTATGCTTTTAATTTTACCGAGATTTTGGCCAAATTTTATGAAAAATAACAAAAAGAAAATTTTCAATTTTTATAATTTTTACTGATACATATACATGCTTTTTATGTTGTATCAAACGTTTAAACTAATTCCAATTAAAATTAGATTTTTTACAAATTTTTTTCTCTATTTTATTTTATTTTATTATTTTTATTTTTCTCTATTTTATTTTTATTTTTCATATTTTATTTTATTTTATACTTTATTTTATTTTATTAATTTTTTAATTTAATTTTTATTTTTCTATATTTAATTTTTTATTTTTTTATTTTTATTTTTCTCAATTTTAATTTATTTTATTTTATTTTCTCTTAATTTATTTTATTTTATTATTTTATTTTGTTTTATTTATTTTATTTATTTTATTTATTAATATTATTAAAAACAATGAAGAAGAACAGTATTCATATGTTTATATTTTCTAGTTTATTTTATTTTATTTTTCTCTGATTAATTTTATTTTATTTTTATTTGTATTTTAATTTATTTTATTATATTTTTATTTGTCTCTATTTTATTATAATTATTTTAATTTTATTTTTTCTCTTTTTTATCTTTTTAAATTTTATTTTTCTCTATTTTATTTTATTTTTATATTTTAATTTATTTTATTTTTTAAATAAAGTGAAATAAAATATAATAAAATAGAGTAAAATAAAAATGAAAAAAAAGATAAAAACAGGAAAAAAATACATGTACAAGTGTAGTAAAAATAATTTTTTCTGTACTTTAATAAGCCGGTGAATTGACTTGATAT